AAAATCTATAAAGTACGTTAAATATAACAACGCCAGGAACAAATGAATTTTCAAAAGACTTTAAAAAATGGATTTGAAAATGAAGATTTGCTTGAAATTTTCATGTTTATTATTAGGCTATGGAAAAAATCTGATGTGGTCAGCACATAACCGACCGCATTGTGTTAAATGAAAGTGTTACAGAATATTATAACAATGTCTGTTAAATACTTCTTTCCAATTTTTAGGACAATAGTAAGCTTATAGTTAACATACCTAGAAAAATGTAAACTTGGCACTTAGTAGAATTTCGCTTTGTGCTATCCGAATTCCCTGAAATGCTCGCCAGTTAGTTTCGGTAACAACCAGAACTCAAATATCAAATTTCGAGAAATTCCATCAATTCGTTCAGTAGATATAGTGAAAAATGTAAAATCGGCCCGCAGATCAGTTTTCGAGCACTGATCTTTCCAAAAAATTTACATGTTCATTGTTTTAATATGAGGAATTCAAATATTAAATTTCAATGAAATCGGTTGATTATTTCTCTTTATATACGCAAAAATGACGCCTGATTTCTTCCAAAAATTAGGAGGTTTCACGGACGTTCGAGCGGAAGATATAAATGAAATTTCAAGTAAATCTGTTGAATATATTCTTCATAGACAGGCCCGCTAAAAAGAGCAGTTCCGAAGCCTGATATATCCCAAAAGTTGATCAATCCGTGCGATAGTCGAAATAAATTTATATATAAAATTTCATCAAAATCGGTTCAGCCGAACTTGAGATACACGCGTGCACACACAGACAGACAAACCGACAGATCAACAGGTTGCTAAAAATAGTTCATTTACACTTCCCTACCATGGAGAAGATCGTTCCCATCAAAATTCGATATGCAAAATTTGTTTCCATCACATAACCTACTTATTGTATACTCAATGCGGTCGGTAAAAATGATTGTTGTACTATCAAGTCAATACTGCAATAAATTCAGGGATGTGTTTAGGTATTTCATATAACTTCCAAGTGAATCCAAATTGACAAAATTAAAAACTATTTGTATCCAACAAAAATCATGGGAAAATGTATTCTTTTGATACAAGTGTACAAAAACGGGAACGCTGACAACCAGCTTTTATTCTAATAAAGAAATATTTATTTTCTTTATTTACACTCATTGATTCTCAGTTAGCAATGCACTCATTTTCGAAACAATTCACTCATGAAATGTTGCTATCAACATTTTTCAAATACTTAAAGTGCATTTTTTTTATCAATGATAAAAAAAATTGAGAGAGAGAAAATATAACAGAGAATTGTAAACAGAGACACGTTTATAACGTTTTACAATTTTCTCTTATTTCGTTTTTATTATGTTTATGATGATAATACTCGTACTGGTGTGGTTCGTATGGTAAAAGTAATAACGCAAAATAAATGTTTTGTTGTATTGTTTATTTTTTCTTTTTTTTTTTCTTAACTATTGCATCGATTCTTATCATTAAAATTGCATAGAGTTTAAAATTGAAAAAAACGAAAAGTAGCTGAATATGATGAATGACAATATTTGAGCTAAGATTAAAATGAGGGAATTATTGACATGAAATTGAAAATTATGTGGCCACTCACGAATGTAACAGAATGACAATTTTTGAAATATTTCCATTTTAATTTTTGAACATTTAGTTTGCACATAAACACAGTAAAAATTTAATCAATCCTTCATGAACGCACAAATTTCACAGAAAATTTATTGTTGTAAGAAATGAGACCTATGTAACAGGAAAACATTATCATGAATGTAATTCTTTTGTTTTAATAGCAAATTTCAGAATATGTGGGCTCAGCCGTTGTAGGAGAAAACACATTTTCAAAGGTATATTCTCATACAAGGGGCACATACAAATGTACGTACATCTACACATTCGAATTTATTTTTGAATATGCACAACAGGTATTGCATATCCATTTTATTTATTGCTGTTGAGTTCTGTTTATGGTATATTTTTCTTTTATTTTTATGTTGCTTTTCAACATTGGTTCTTTCTTTCCTTTTGCTTATTTATTTTTTCTCTTCACTTTATTTGTTCATCTGTTCAACAGAGGAAAGCAAGCACAGCAGTAAAAGAAAAGAATCAGTCTCTCGTCGGCCTTTGTTGCACTAATGTTAATTTAACGGGAATTGGAAAATTTAAAAAAAATTAAAAATTATTTTTTTTTTCTTGTTTTTAAAATATTTTTATTTGTTACTTGTGTGGTAGAAACAAAAGAATAAATTGATAGTGAGTGAATTTTGTTTCCTCTTGATTTCTATCTATAATATTATCACTCAATAATTAATCCGATGATCAGTGTATACCATTTGAATAATATTTTAGATTTAAAGATATGAAAATTAAAAAAAAAATTTATTTTCTATAAATATGTTGAAAAATAACAAATAAAATTTAAAACTAATAAAAATATTTTTACATAATTCTTGTGTCAAAACACAAAAAATATTGGAAAATATTGAATTTTTATCTCAAAATAATTTGTTTTTGTTTTTGCTGTGCGTTTATTGATATAAGATACCCAAATATGTATGTAAGTACATATATTTACCACCTATCGAAAATATTTTAATATTCGGTTGAATTTGAATGAAAAACGGAAAAGGATATACGAAAATAAATTATTCCGGCGTGATCGTAATCGTTCGAAAAATATTTTGTGCGGCGGTTTCATTTGAATCGTGAATATTCGATTTCATAGAGAGATATAAAATATAATTTTGTGGTGATGAAATGATATGTGCATAATTGAAATACAAAAACATAAAAATTACAGTGGAAAAAAATATCAATATAATGTATAAACAACATATGTTGAGTTAACGGTATACATTTAACATAAATATCAAAGAATGTTTCATATTTTTATGATATTTTTTAGGTTTGTCAAGGGTATTTAACGTAAAAAGTTATATGAATGAATAGTGGAACGGAATTTTCTCATTTTTAATTATTGTGGTTGTTTTTTTATTCTAAAATTTTTAAGGAAACTAAAAAGTACGAGTGAATTTATTCATTTTGTGCAAAAAAATTGTAATTTATAACAACAAAATATAGAAAGTTCGTTGTCGTTTTATGTTTTAAATTTATGCTGCCAACATATATATGAAGAAAATGTACAATATGTACCTATACTAAATAAATATTGTGTTTCATTTACATATATTGTGAACTATATTGGTGTTTATAAAAAAGAAAAGAAAGCAGATCTAAAAGATTTTTTAAAATGTTTGGCATACGTTTTATAAACATGTACATTTTAGATTTTTTCTTTATTGTAATTAATTTGTTTCAAATTATATTTACAGTTTCGAGAGCTATTTTTGAATAAAATTTTTAAAGTAGAGTACATTTATTTATATCTACATATATATTTAAATTTAAGAAATCATCATCGCACCACATAATTGTACGCACTTCTATGAAAAAAGGGAACAATATAGAGAGGCGAGTTGCAGCCAAAAAATGTGTATATACGTGTATAAACGTAAATAAATTAAAAACGAGTACTTTATAAATAAAATAAACGAGATTCGCTTATTTTTGTTGAAATTATTGAATACAAACTCTTTTACACAACAAAGGACTTTTGTAAAATTGTCGAGCGTTGATTCATTTTTAACACAATAAAAAAAGTAAAAAATTCCGTTTTAATTTATTTTTAGTTTACTCGATAAATATAGATTTTATTCCAAAAGAACGCAAATATAAATCTATCCAAAAGTTAAAATTGGCAATAATGATATAAAATTGAATTGAATTTAATTACACGAAAAAAAGAAGAAAATTAAAGAAATTTAATTAAGTTTTAAAATCAAAAAAAATAAAAATCAATAAAGGGAGAAAGAAATGAACGTGAATTTTCATTAAATTCAAGTATTTATTTTCTTTTTCAACAAATAAATTGCAGTTTAATTTGTATAGTTTTTCATTTGAAATTCTTTGATGAATCCGAGGAGAAAAAGGAATAAAACATGTGCGTGTGTTTATAAAACTAAAAATATTGTGAAGCATTAAATTAAAATACTTAAAGTTTTATGATTTTAAAAAATTTTTATTATGATATTTTATGGTTCCACGTGTTTTAGAATGCACCTTTAAGGACAATAAAAGTCTTATGATAATAAAATGGAATAAAGTAATAAAATCTTATTTTGGAAATACCAATAAACCTTAAACCACCTTTAAAGGTTGCACCTGGTTTTTAATTTTTCTTTTTTGAAAATAATTTTAAGAATTTAAAAATCTTTTCATTCATTCAAACTAATTTTTTTTTTTCAAAATTCGATAAGTGTTTTATATTAAAAAAAAAATCAATTGTATCCTTAGAAAAAAGTAAATTTTATTAAGTATGTGAAATTTTTATAAAATTAATTTTTTACACATATATAATAAAGGAAATTATAAAAATAAAAATACAAAATGAAGCATAAATTGTATATTAATATTTTTTGGAATATTGTGACGAATATCACAATTTTCTACGAGATAATAAATGTCATAGGATATTCAACATGCTCAATAATAGCAACAACAACGTCGGCGTCAATAACATTTACCTCAGTAACAAAGTCAACTTTATTAAGAACAAATATGACTTCTAATATTGAAAATTTCAATAACCAAAAATCAAATTTTCAAAATTTTGGCAATTTTAAACAACGACATTCCAATTTTAAATTAGAAAATAATTTCAATATTAGTAGTGATGATGAGTTATTTATACAAGATTTAATTAATTTTCGAATAAATACAGAATTTCAAGATTTTAATAAAAATAATAATTACAGTAATAATGATAATAATAATAATATAACACATAATTACAATTTATTAAAAAATATAACGATTTCAAGTAATATTAATGAAGGTGAAAATATTAATAATTTTAGAAATATAAATAATACTGTTAATAGTAGTATAAATAGTTTTAATATCACAAATAAAAAAAAAATTAAAAATCAATTTAATAAAAAATTGTCATCGTTATTACCATTATCATCATCATCATCATCACTTTCCGCCGATCATACTAATAAAAAAATGAAAAATCCTAATAAATCGTCGAAAAAAAATCATAATAATAGAAAAGATAATCTTAACTATTTAAATAATAATAAAAATAATGACAAAAAATTTACAAATTCTTCTAAACCAATTAATAATGGATTAAAGAAAAAACAACAATTTCAACAACAGCAAAAGAAAACTAAAGGTCAACGACAAAAGATGAACAAAAATGGTAATAAATGCTTTTTATTTACCAAGTTTTATTAAATTATATAAGTAGATTTCCTTTTAATTACCATCTTTGGGATTTATTTTTTTTCTTTATTGTTCATCCAGTTTGCAAAAAAAAAAATCTTCCTTATATTATTAAAAATAAAGTAAGTAGCTACAACAAGATTCCTTCTAACAAAGAGTTTCAAAAAAACCTTTTTTTCCTTTTTTATAAGCAATTTGAAATTCTAAAGAAAATCATGTATCAAAAATGGAAATAAATTTTATATAAAAAAGAACAAGGAAAATACTTAAATGAATCAATATGAAAGTGTATAATTAAAGTGTTTTAAATGTGAAATCTATACCTTTCATTTGCTAGAATAATATAGAACTTATGTCATAACAATATTCAATATTTATGCCATAAAAAATAACACACTGTTGCCTCTTATTTATTATGAAAAGAATATTAAAATATTTGGCCAAACCCAAAAAATTCGAAACTCCAAAAGTCAGTAAAATTTCACAAAATTTTGAAACTTAAATGTTTAAAACCCAATGAGAGGAGGATTTCACTAGAATAAGTATTGAATACGCTTATAAAAATGTCGTATAAAAATGCTTGCATAAAAAGTGTTATTTTCAAAACCAGAATTTGTAAATTAGCACATTTTTCTTATGCAATGTTGTTGTAAAGTATTATACAGCTTTAGGTCAAAGTAATGAAAGCTATTTAATATAAAGTATATATAGAAATTGAAAAAATTTTGTTAACTATATAAATCTTTGCATAAATAAAGGTGAAATTTTGGAATAATCTTTCTCGATAAATTTATACTTATAAAGCTTGATTTGGCTAATTAATTTAGCAAAGATATAAGGGTATACTTATAGTAAGAGGTGGCTCACTGCTACTTTTTTTTTTTCCTAAAAACCCATTATAGTTAACAGCGTCAAAGAAGTAGAGAACGGAAATTTGACATTTTTCAAATTTTGAAAGAAAACAACTCGGAAGTGGGAGGTATTACATGAAAATTTTGCTCTATCAATAAACTATTAAAAATTGAGATTAATACGAATTGTTCTAGACGGTATTTATTGCGGTCAAATTACTTCAAAAAATAGAGAATCTATTAAAATCTATTTCAAATAACGGTCACTTGGAAGGATAAGTTTGGCAGCATGGCTCTTGTTTTTAGTTTTTTATGTTAGAAATAGTTTTCCTGAGTAATTATAATAAGTAAATTTATTAAATCAAAATTTTTTGGCAATATGCTGCAACAATACCAACTACGATGTAGCGTGAATACGATTATGACAATTTATCCATATATGTATAAAATTACACTGAATTTTCATTTCATCAAATATGGTCACAATATTAATTATCAAGTGTAATTAACATTTTTTTTGCACTTATATGATTAACAATGCATTATAGTTAGGTTCAGAATTCCAGAAAATAGATCTGAATACGATGATAGCTTATAATATTATAAGTATTCATATATAGATGTAGTATTTGAGTTACACACGATGTACATCTCGATCTTATAATATAAGTGTATGTACAAATATTCCTTTCTGCGCGTACGTTTTTCGTGAAAGAGAAACATAGTTTTAAAGAAGTAAATGAAAAAACAAAAAAAAATGTTCATAAAGTTGAGGTAAATAAGAAATAAATCAAAAGTTTAAAAAAAAAATCTGATGTGGTCAGCACATAACCGACCGCAATGTGTATTGCCTAGTTAAGTGAAAGTGTTACAGAATATTATAAAAATGTCTGCAAATACTTCTTTCCAGCTTTTAGGACATTAGTAAGCTTATAGTTAACATAGGTACCTAGAAAAATGTAAATTTGGCTCTTGGTAGAGTTTCTCTTTGTGCTATCCGAATTCCTTGAAATGCTCGCCAGTTAGTTTCGGTAACAACCAGAACTCAAATATCAAATTTCAAGAAATTCCATCAATTCGTTCCGTAGATATGGTGAAAAATGTAAAATCGGCCCGCAGATCAGTTTTCGAGCCCTGATCTTTCCAAAAAATTTGTATGTTCATTGTTTCAATACGAAGAATTTAAATATTAAATTTCAATGAAATCGGTTGATTATTTCTCTTTATATACGCAAAAATTTATTTTTGGCCCGTAGTAAACGTCCAGTTGCTGACACCTGATTGCTTTCAAAAGTTAGGAATTTTTGCGGACGTTCGAGCAAAGCTTATATATGAAATTTCAAGAAAATTGGTTAAATATTTTCTTCAAAATATTCAAAAAAGTAAAACAGGCCCGCTAAAAAGTGCAGTTCCCGAGGCCTGATATATCCCAAAAGTTGATCAATCCGTGCCATGGTGGAAATAAACTTACATATAAAATTTCATCAAAATCGGTTCAGCACAACTTGAGATACACGCGTGCACACACAGACCGACAGACCGACAGACCGACGGATCGACAAGTTGCTAAAAATAGTTTATTTACACTTCCCTACTATGGAGAAGTGCATTCCCACCGAAAAATCGATATGCAAAATTTGTTGCCATCACATAACCTACCTATTGTATACACAATACGGTCGGTAAAAATAAACAGAAAAAAAAAAAATTTGCATAAATTTTCTGAAAATATTAATTTATTTTAAAATCATAAAGGTATGCAATATATGGTTATTAAAAATAATATGGTAATTCTGCACCATGCCAACTAGATTTAAGAAAATTCGGCTCATATGTTAACTGTAACTCTATTTGCATTCTCGCTTTTATTTTTGGTAAAATATTAATTTTAACAACCCAATAAAAATTTTTTATGAATTAATAACATTCGTTTAGCTTTAATTGCAGCAATTTATTCAAAAAAAAAATTATATATGTCGTAAAATTATTTTTATATGTTTGTACACTTGAAAATCGTTAAAATTACAAAAACATATTAACACAAAAACAGTAATTGTCCTAAAATAGTGTATCACACAAAAAGGCAAAAATTATCAAAAAGCAAAAACTGATCGTTATATTAAAATAAATTAAAAGATTCTTGCAGTAATTTCTGAAGTAATTTTATAAAATTCATGATAACTATGCTCTTAATCAGTAATATTAGTACCGTAGTCAACAAACGTTTAAGACGCATGAGATGAAATGAAAAATTTTAATTTAAATCTATTATTTAAATTTATCTTGTGAGACTTCTTTATAGTTGTTTTTGTAAAGCTGGTATTTAAAATGATTGTGATAAAAAAATATCGAAATTAAATGAAATGTAAAATTTATTTTTTTGCTCTTTTATTAAGTAAATATATTATTTTTCATAAAATTTATTACTTATATTAATTTTTAAATAATTCTTAATTCAGTTTGGGATGTGTAAACAAACGCCAAAATGGCAAAATATTTGAAATTACTTAAAACCATCAAAAGAAAGGAGTTTTTTCTGAATAAATATCGATGTCGCAATTTAATGTGTCAACGTGTTTAAAGGTTGTGTAAGTTAAATATAAGCCGATGTATTTGATTTCAAAGTAAACTAAAGTATGCAATCGACTGAAGGATAATATGGCACAGAATTGCAGTTTTTGATTTAGCTTAAACTCCATAATTGATGTTTTTCAAAGAAGGTATAAGATCACTCTTAACTTATTTTCTTTTACTTATTTATATTTATCAACCTTGTACTTATTTCACAGGTTGTATAGTAAATACGTAAGTATAAAATATGAATTATTCTATACTAAGTACTTAATTTAGAATTTCATTTCCCAGTAATATATTTTTTCCAAATGTTTAAAAAGTTCTCAGTCAAAATTGGGAATAAATTACTTATACGAGTACATTTAAGGCTCATTATGTATACACTTACATATGCATGTACTTAATTGCTACAAATTACTCTATATGAATTGTTTGCACTTGTTTTACTCTTCATAACATTAGCTACTTACTATATGTTTGTAAATTAGTTAATTTTTAAGGAATTTCTGATTGTCAGCAACAATAGTTTGTATTTTGTTTAATTCTTTGGAAAAGTTCAAAGATTTTTAATGTGTCGTGTGACAAAAATATTTAATGAAATATGCATATACTTAGGTGTAAGCTTATATCACATTTTAAAGCATTAAGTTCTTCTCCAATGAAACGATTTCAGGGAAACTTTTAACAAAAATAAATAAAAATCTTAATATAATTTTCTTTTCCCCACCAAACATTGTACTTAATGCAATTTGAGACGTAATTGCATAATTTCCAATTAAAAAATTTTTAGAATAGAAGAAAATCTTGGAATTTGAAAACGTTAACTACTTACATTTTTTTTCGATTTTTGATGTTTTTGTTCTTGTAATTAATTAAATGTTCCATTTGAGTAAAAGTGAACATACAAAGTACACGAGCATATCGTTAAACATAAAATTTTATTTATGGAAAAATTTATTTTTAGTAAGAAAAAAAAAAGTTAAAAAAAAATTCTTTTATTCTTTTATTTTTAATGTTAAGTAAACTGTGACTTTTTGTGAGTCATACATACAATTGCTTATGTATATTTTTTTGGGTGTTATTGCACTAAAAAATTTTTTTTTTTTTGTTCTTTTTTGTCAGCTATAATTTTGTAGTTTAATTTCGTAGCAAAATTTTCCAACTAATAGTTTTGTAACCTAATTCAAATTACTTTGTAAGTTATTCAAGCTGAAAAAAATTGAATTAATCGAAACATGAATAAATTTAACAACAAAAAAAATTTGAGCTGAAAAAATTTTTGTAATAATTAATTTTAAATTTCTAAAAAAGGAATTTTTAAATCAAAAAATTACAAGAAAGTAGTAATAAATAAATTACATACATATTTACTTTAGCACAGTTCGCATTTAATTCATTCTCACTTTCAAAGTAAATTTAATAAATTTATACACATACATACATATGTATGTATGTATTTTCCTTTATGTAATTCATAAAAATATTACAAATTTTGATTGCACAAAATTAAGAAAAAATCTTCATAAATTTTTACACATTCCTGCACCATATT